CCATAGTGAGTTTCAGCCGGCTGCTCCGAGTTGCACATGGCATTGGAGCGCCGCAGCCACAGCCTCTTGGCACACCTGAAACACCCAGCGGCACCTCTTGGCACTAGATCACACACACGCGAGCGCACGTGTAGTACTTTCCAAACGAAAGTGGTTCATATGCTTCCTAGATCTCGCTGCACTGCTGTTTGCAAACTGGCAAACACAACTTCGCAAAGCCTCCCCACCATGCACGGACCCAGTTGCCCACCGACCTGGTAGAAAAGGGATGCCTTTTTGGTGAGCTGGACGCAAGTGCAAGGGTGTGCGCCAAAGCAATCTTTCAAGATTCAAGTTTGCGTTTTGGAATGCAAATGGTGCAAACTGAAACAAGTATCACGAGCTCTTCCGATTGCTGCCCCCAGCCAAAGGGAGCCCCGTTGTTAGCTCTGTTGTTACCTGCATTTGATCTCTTGGTTTACAACGGCCGGAAAAAAAAGAAGGGGTCCCTGTTCAAAACCTGCTCGCCAAAATTGGCGTGGCACCCAGTGCTTGCAGGCCAGGTAACCAGGCAAAACCTCATCGTGGCAACAACTTCAAGTGCAGGTCTAGCGCTTCTTGGCAAAATCCAAGACCCTGTGCAAATGCCCACTCCTGAGCACATCATGTCAACCCCTGACTAAAACAAGAGGTACTTGCCATGATAAACCCGGTCTTTCTAAGAAAAGCAGGATTGGAGTAGGGGGACGTCCGTTTAACAGTACTTGAACAGTCATGTCAACTTCGCTGGGGACCGAATTTCGATGTTCGTGTTTGCTGATTCAAAAGTTATATTCACTTCGCAGGGGACTGGAGTTCCTTTTTGTCCACCATCTAAAGTGTCATATTGACTTCGTTGGAGACTATATTTACTTTTGGCCACCATGTTGCTTTCTTTATTTTGCCTTTGCGAGGCCGGGCTTCCTCAGCTTTGACTTCGGGCCTCGTCGTTGCACCGCTCAATTGGCACAACAAAGGCACAGCCGCGAGCCGGGAGGCCCAAGCCCCGCCTCCACAAAGCCAGCGTTATCTCGCAGCAGCGCCTGGCAAGAAGATCACCACCCGAGCCCTTGAGAAGCTTTTTGGGAGTTGAAACAGTTCTTGTATGTGCAGACTTGCCATCTGAACACATGTGGTTCGCATATCCAGCATTGTTTCAAAAGTGGATATACGAACCACCCAATGTGTTCAAGTGGCCAGTCTGCCATACAAGAACTCAGTTGCTCAGGTCTGGGGACCAGGTTCTGGATTAGCGGAGAGGGGGCTCGATCCAAGCTGAAGGGAAGGTGTGAAAATCAAGTCTAAGGGTTGATTCGTTCCTGGCGACGCAGTTTATCCAAAAGTCTCAAGGATTACAGTTATACAGGGTTGCAGAACCAAAGATCATCGAATAAGTCAAGCACATACATTGAACCGTGAGGGCACATCTTTCGACATTCACAGTATGATTGGGATGTCCACCTCAAGTCGAAGGAGCGGAAAGGTCCAACGTGGAATGATGGACCCTCAGTTTTGATCGTCCGAACGAAACCATACAAAGCAAACGAACCAACGAACGAAAGAACGAACAAACAAACAAGCAAACAAACAAACCAGACAAAGCAAACCAAAGCAAACCACACCAGACCACACCAGACCACGCCAAACCACAGCAAACAAAGCCAAACACTGCCAAACAGGCAAAGCCAGGCTGGCTGGCAGGCAGGCGAATCTGCAGTGTCTTAGCATTCCGGGCAAAGGAAAACTATCTTCTACGTGCCCCCCTCTTTCTTACAAATTCGCGCGCCAAACAAATGCAGAGGTTTATCTCAACCCTTAGACAAAGGGGTGCAACCCGCGCTGACCCAAAGTGGGCAAAGTTGGAAGGGCAAAGCTGCCAAGCTCCTTGCGTGGCTTGAGCTCAAAGCCCCGGTCAAAATATGCGGTTCCCACAGTGGACACGGTAAACTTGGCAAGTCTCCCCCTTTTGTGGAATGAGTGTGGCCCACCTTCGTAAGAAGTCCACAAAGAACAATCTTCATCTTGACAGCACCCACATGTTTCACGGGCTTGACAAAGCATCTAGGTTTCAGCATCGTTGGTGCTAGGTGCTCGCACAAAATACAGATGTCGTGAGAATTGTGCCAATCGCCCTTCACCTGTAGGTTCTTTCCTACCGATACCGCGGCTAAGTCTGCGCACGGGATTGCTAAAGTGTGGAACCCTGCATCATGACTGTGCAGCGCGGGGCAAGGAAGTGCACCATGCCAGGAGGCCGAAAACGCGGCCAAATGATGAGTTGGACTCTTCATGACTTCCCAGTGTTTTCCTTTGGCTTTTCTGAAGCTTGCAGACCTCGAATTCCTGTCGACTACCCCGTGCAAAATAGACTCTAGATGCGGCAAACGACCGACATCCGTTGGAATCCATGTATTTCTCAAGTAACCTGAAAAGGACATCCCCTCCCGTCCCCACCTGCAGCTTTTGCGGGTCAATGTCCTCTGGCTCCAAAGTCGCCAAGGCCGGTTGGTAGGGACCCTTCGCGGACTCGGGCGCCTCGTGTTTGGTCGAAGGCGCGCGTTGGGAAGGTCTCTTGAGGCTCGGTTCGCCTTAGGTTGGAATGGGAACCCAAAGGAGAAAAGCAACACTTGGGGGGGCGGAGGGAGTGTCCCTATGAAACGCGTCATGGGGGTTGGAGCTCGGAGTTTCGCGTGCTTCCCCAGTAGACTGCCTGTAGAAGTGATTGATGACCTCGCGGGGGGGAAGTGCCCTTTGACTGGTTGGGTTAAAACCCCTTCGCTTTTGTAAGAACAACCCAACCCGACACTGGGAACCTCTTGTTCAGGTTGTTTCAAAAGGCCAAACGAAATCAATCTATTGGAAAGATGCTTACTTCAGTTTAAACGGAAAAAGCGACAGCAATGATGCCTGATTTCGAGACACCTGAAATGTGGAAGACCTGAAAGAAACAACTCACAAACCGAAAAATAAATCACGCAAACCAAATTACTATGACTACAACTCACAAACAAGAACTCAAGCAAATTGTCATAACTCCTCCCAGTTGCTGGCCACCTTCATGGTTCAAACTTTCCCGGGCGCGCCTGCACGCTGGCCACTGCTGGGCTCAAGGAAGTGCCCCAGCCCTGCCAGAGTGGGTTGCGCCCAGTGCTTCTAACCAGGGTTTCTTACCCCTTACATGTTGGTTCCCCCTACTTATGATGGTAACTGGAAGCATTGGGAAATATGTTTGACAGATCAGCCTGGCGTTATGTTCAATTGGTCAGACCCTCTGGTGGACATCATTTAGGTGGGAGTTCATGTCCACCAACCACTTTTGAAAATGGCTTAAAGCATCACGAAACCAATGACGCCCAGGTGAAACATAGTGGCTTAGACCGTGGTTAAAACCCTCTCAGCTTGGCCGAAAAACGGGTCCACGACGCCTGCAACGTCCCCGCGTCCGCGTCTGCGCTCCAGGTGCGGCACTCTCCGTCCATGGCGTCCAATGGGAGATGGCCCGGTCCAACAAATGGAAATTTCTCGCCAAACCAACCAAGCTCACGAAAATTGGGAGTTCCAGATCAACAACAAATGGCAAAAAGGATGAAAAGTGCTGAACCAACTCATCACACGGAGAACATAAACGAAGGGCACGGGGCAGATCTTGGCGTGGCTTCCCATGACTTGTGTACTGCAACTCCACGAAGATGTAGCAGGGTGAGGCACCCTCTGGGCTTTTTGGTACTGGTGCCAACCCATGCGCGGCCAATGCATCTATCCTGGGGGGGGGGGGTTCTATGGGATCTCACCGAAAACCTCCTTTGGCGGCTCATGAAGAGCCAAATCCTTGCGCCTCACTTCCATTGGGAACACCTTCTGCCCGGTCCGTGACGATATGAAAAAACCCTCAAGACTAGTCGAACTAGGGGGTGTTGACCACACGATGTCATATGCGGCTTTGTCCGAATGGAATGGAAGAACCCCAAAATCGGTTGGTCTCCTTTTGGTTTCCCTTCAAATACCCACCAAAATGTGGTCCACCATTTCGAGAAACACCCATATGGAGATTTGAGGAGTAAACAACATCTTCCCATGCTCGGTTGGTCCGTTTTATTACAAAAAAAGAACATAGAACATCGTTCACAATGCCCTGGCAACCGCAGGTTTCACTTTTGGGGGCGGATTCCTGCACTTCAAGCTTTGCCTGCAACACTCAGGGAATCCACAGCCCTTGGATCTGAACCGTCTTCATGTCTGGCCGCTGTGAACATCCGGCTTCAAATGTTCACGGAATGTCTCAAGGAGGCTGTGGGTGCCCTTTCGTGAGATCCTGCACCGTTTCAGTTTGTGTGCTTGTTTGTCCTTCTTCTTTCTCTAGCTTACACCAAAATCAAAATACCCCCCATTGGGGACTTGTGTGTGTGTGTGTTTTTGTTTAAGGGACACCAAAAACAAATACCCCCATCGCCCTTTGTTTTTCTTTGTTTAAGGGAAACCAAAAGCCAAAAACTTCTCTCCCCCCCCCCCCCCCGATTTGGGGCTGGTGGCAAGACATTCGAAAGGAAATCCTTGAAATTCCCCGCTGAGCACGGGCAACACAATCATGGAAGTGCATTGGCGACTGTTTAAAGGAAGCCTTCCAAAACACTCCTGTCAGCTTCCATCATTGTTGGAAAAGAGGAAGTTCACATGAACCGAAAAGAGCCCACGTACATTAAAAAGTGGACCTTGTGTCAGAGGGCCCTTTGGCGACATCAAGAAAAGACAGGCGTTTGGTCGCCGAAAGCGAAGCCAAGCCAGAAACGCACAGTACCTATCTAGGTGGAAAAAATGGGTTTGGTCAGAGTCAAGCCGATGCACCTTCCGATTCCGGCCACAAAAACATACAGGAGTTGCTGCAACAGTACCGTTGTTGTTCAAGTCTGTTCTCAAAACCCATATTCATGGCTAGAGGGTAGCACCTAGCAACGCGGGCAGCACACATTGCTCACAACACTTTTGACAGGCTGTGCTCTTGCCAAGTGCGGACGCGCTTGGGGTCATGACACCTCGGTACGCCGCCACGGTCAAAGGCAAGCCCTGTGCAACGGGAAAACCTTCTTCCAAAACCAGACCCCCTTCCCCCCCCAAACACATGCAATACCACAATATCCAACAAAACAACAAATGCAAAATAGACACCACAAGTGTTCACCATGCGGAGGACTCCCCCCTCATTAATTCGCCGGGTTTGCTTTAATCTGGATCAGCTTTGTTGAATGCGCAACCACGTATTCACTTTGATTTGCCCCACCTAAAGGGTGCGTGAGGGTGCATTTGTGAGGTTCTGTCAAAGTTGCCTGTGGTCTGGGGTCCATTTTGGGAGGGACATGTGAAGTTTCCTACAAACACAAACAAGCCCCAATTTTTCCCATGTCCTCTTGGGGAACCTTTCCACTTTTGATCGCTCATGAGGTGCACGCGAATGTTTGCCTTCAGAGGTTTGGAGCTAAAGCAAGGGGCGGAAGAAGGCCGCCAAACTTGTGCGCAGGGGCTCACCTTTTGGAGTTGTTTCAGAGACTCTGCCGGCAGAACTGACAGTTGGGAGTTGGAGACTTGGTGACGGAGCGTGTTGCCCGGAGCCAGGCAGTTAATTCCCTGCAGGCGTGTTTCTTCGCTTTTTCTCTCGGGTTTGTATTCTCCGAGAAGAGGGGCCCCTGCAAACTAGCCTCCATGTGTCCACGGCACGGGCTTTCCCTCCCACCCTCGCCCAAAGAAAAACCAAAAGTGAAGGAGGTCTCAAACCAACGAGGGGGTCTCAATCCTGGGCTCACATTAGGAGTTTCCATTAACCCCAAATCACACGCCCAAGAGAGGTAACCCCTGTCTAATGGCTATAAACAAGGTGTTGATATGCTCCTCACGCTCATGTGTCCAAAGGGCCTGGCGGTCAACATTATATCATATAAATTCACGTATATTCAAAGGAAGCTTAGAAGAAACTCTTGCTACGGACGAGTTGAAAGGCAGTCTTGCACACACGTGAAATAAAGAAAGAACGAATGCATGCGGCGAAAATCAAACCGCGAAAACAAGTGACCCCCTTCGTGTTTGGCTGAAAGCTGCCTCGGTCGCGACACCTGACGGACGACTGGTGCGAAGCGGGCTCGGACCCCCCCCCGCCCCCGACGGTGACATGCGCAGCACTTCGGCAAGCTGAGGTACAGATTGCGTGGCTGGCACAGCAAGTTTTTGGATTTCGTGGCAGGCGCCGCACTTTTGCAAACAGGCGCGGCCTTTGGCAATGCTGGCACGCACGCGTCGCAAACCCCATTGGCACGGACGTGAACTTTCACAAGGTCAAACTCAAATTTCTTGGCAAGTGCAGCACTTTCGCAAGGTCAGGTACAGCTTCCGTGGCAGGCACAGCAAATCAGACCCAAACTGAAACTAATGGAGTCTATTCTCACCCAATCAGACTCATCTTCAACCAAGCAACATGCCCTCCAAAAACCATCACAGAAACAGGGCCCCTCCCCTAGTCTCATTGACAGCATGTGAGTCATACTCAAAACCGATCGGCGAAAAAGAAAAAAAATGATTACCCAGAAACATGGAAAGAACTAAAAAAGCGGCCAACGCACTCATAGAAAACAAATAGAAGACAACGAGAGAGAGAGAGAGAGGGAGAGCGAGAGCCATAGAAAGATAACTAGATAGAGCCGATGAATATTTAGATAGATACACAGATGGGAAGGTGGATAGATGCATTGAACAATAGACAGAGGGAGAGACAGAGGGAAAGATATATAAATAGATAGGGATAGTTGAAGAGATGGACAGAGAGGTAGGTAGACAGATAAATTGAATCATTGATTGATATATTGGTTGGTTGTTTGGTTGTTTGGTTGGTTGGTTGATGAGTTGATTGGTTGATCGATTAATTGATTGATTGATTGATTGATTGATTGATTGATTGATTGATTGATTGATTGATTGATTGATTGATTGATTGATTGATTGACTGGTTGACTGATTGATTGACTCATTGATTGACTATTAGTGGTTAGATAGATAGACAAACAGACAGACAGATGTACACAGAGGCAGAAATACGTGGGTAGATAGATAGGCGAAAGATAAAAACGCAGAGAGATAGGTACATAGATAGATGGATAAATGACCAAAAACATGGAAAAAACGGAGAGAAAGATGGGTAGGTAGGTAGATAGCTAGATAGATAAAAATTGATAGGCAGGGGGAAATAGATCAACAAGTACATAAATGAAAACAGAAAGAGGGAGAGATAGATGGATAGGTAGATAGATAGATGGATAGATCGATAGATAGTTGGATAGATTAGATAGATATATAGATAGGTAGATAGAAAGATAGGCAGATAGATAGATAGATAGATAAGAGAATAAAGAGAGAGATAGCCAGATTTAAAAATAGGTAGGGGATAGTTAGATAGGAAGAAATATAGCTTAACAGATAGAGAGATAGACAGAGAGATACAGAGATAGACAGGTAGATAGATAGATGCATCGAGAAGTACGTAGATAGGTACAGAAATGGACAAATAAGTAGATAAGTAGATTGGTAGATAGATAGAACGGTACAGATCGGTGGAGATAGACAGAGAGATGCAGAGATAGATAGATGGACAGACAGATAGATAGACTTGAGAAGCAGGTGGACGAAAGCTAGCTGCAAGGCGAGGCATGCGGCCGGCACGAACTTTTCCTGCGCCGGGAGCTCTGCTCGCAGGCCGTCGATTTGGCTGCCGCGCCTGCGACGGAGGGAGACTTGCACGGAGATCGGGTTGACTTGCAGCCGCTCATTGTTTGCCAGGGCTCGTCAAGCGGACTGCGTCTCCAACATCACAACGTCATGCGGAAGCAGCTCACTGAACATCACCAGCAACACGTCGGCCGAAGTGCGGCCTGTTCCAACCCCAACGAATAAAATTTCGTTCGGGTACTGCCCCAAAGGCGGCGCGTCGACGTCAGGGGAAAGCTCGCGACAACACCGGCCTGCATCCGATGAGGAGCCTCTCCACAGCTGCGGCGCGTTGCAAGCACCTGTTCGAGCAATAAGAAAACAGTACCTTGACCTGCGCGAAAAGAAAGCCACGAGCAGCACAACTCGCGAAGCTGACTTCAGAAAAACTAGAACAGCGGTGAGTGAAACGCTCAGCAACATGGCAAGCTGTCAAGTTGGCGATGCGTGGGAGGCGTGGCCTGAGAAAGCGGCGGCAGCGGGGCCGCCCGGGCGCGCTGGCGGCAAGCTCCTGCAGGACAGCAAGTGTGCATCACGCAAAGCGGCACTGCAGCCAGGCTCTGCGAGGGCTTGGGCATGGCAAATAGCCACTGGCGAGGCAGTTCTTTTCCCGTGTCGTCGATGCTGCAACAGCAATTAGCGCTGGTCAAAAAATCGCACAATGCGTGGGGTACCATGCCTGAACGACTCAGGTCTGCAGCTGATTGAAGATCTGCCGGAGGAGGCCGGAGCAATCGTCAACTCGAAGCAAGCGTCGTAGCGATCTGCCGCAGAAGGTCGGCATCGCCCGGCGAATCGGCGTGGAGGCTTGAGGTGGAGCGTGTGTAGCCGCCATCTGTGTGTTCCCCTTGCCGCTCAAGATGTTTCCAACTGTCTCGCAGCGGCCAACTGTCCCCGCGATCTGCAAGACGAAAGCTCCGGAGTCTTGAGGAAAGTGCAGGAAGTGCAGCGCGCAAAGCGCAAGATGTTCACGGCCGCCAGGTGAGGGAGCGTCTTGGATTCGAAGAGCGCTGAAAAGAGACGGCCCACTTCGGGAACGCAGCTGTGTCGAACACATGGCCCCAAACATGTGTTGGCAGAGGCGGACGTGTGCAGGTGGGCCAGCGCCGCCATGCCCTCGTCTCCAGCTCCCGAATACAGGACGACATGCCAGCCTGGCGGCCCGTCCAAACTCCATGCAAGTTGGCAGAACTGGGCCAACTCTCGCAGGTTGCGCAGGTGTCTGCGATGAGATGTGTTGCTGCAAGCTAGCCTTAGCTTGAAACATCACACAGGGCAAACCTTTTGATCCGTGCTGGCTTACCAGGATGTAGTAGTGGCAAGGCCGATCCTGTTCGGAGTGTTCATGGGCCGTGGCACCATTGGCAGTGTAACATCCAATGCAAAGTTCCAGCGGAAAGGATTCGCCATGTGGTGGTCGAGGATGGATCACGTATGGTGCTGGAGATGCCGGCTCAGCTGCTGCCATGGAAGGCGAGGATGCAGTTGTAGCAGCAGTTGCACGCCGCTGGCGGCATTGACGGCAGTGACGAGTTTGTAGCAGGGCTCGCAGCAGGATCTGCAGCAGGGGGCGCAGGCACCAGAGGCACAGTTGCTTGCGGCCCTGACACAGAGCTCAAAGATGCAGCAGTCCCGAGCCCCAATGCTGCTGCTGCAGCCGGAAGCCTAGCAGGTGGAGCTGGCACAATTGCTGGTGCGGGTGGCAAGCCTGGAGTCGTGGCAGGAGACGCAGCAGCTGCCGAAATGAAAAGAGAAATAGATAGACAGATACATAGATAGACAGACAGACAGACAGACAGACAGACAGACAGACAGACAGACAGACAGGTAGATAGACAGGTGGATAGATAGATGGGTACATATATACAGAGACAGAAATACGTGGGTAGATAGAAAGGCGAGAGATAGATAGGTACATAGATAGATAGATAGGATAGGATAGGATAGGATAGGATAGGATAGGATAGGACAGGATAGGATAGGATAGGATAGGATAGGATAGGATAGGATAGGTAGATAGATAGATAGATAGATAGATACCTAGATAGATACCTAGATAGATAGACAGACAGATAGATAGATAGATAGATAGATATATAGATAGATAAGATAGATAGGATAAATAGATAGATAGATAGATAGATAGATAGATAGATTAGATTAGATTAGATTAGATTAGATTAGATTAGATTAGATTAGATTAGATTAGATTAGATAGATAGATTAGATAGATAGATAGATAGATAGATAGATAGATAGATAGATAGATAGATAGATAGATAGATAGATAGATAGATAGATAGATAGGATAGATGGATAGATGGATAGATATAGATGGATAGATATAGATGGATAGATGGATAGATATAGATAGATGGATAGATAGATAGATAGATAGATAGATAGATAGATAGATAGATAGATAGATAGATAGATAGATAGATAGATAGATAGATAGATAGATAGATAGATAGATAGATAGATAGATAGATAGATAGATAGATAGATAGATAGATAGATAGATAGATAGATAGATAGATAGATAGATAGATAGATAGATAGATAGATAGATAGATAGATAGATAGATAGATAGATAGATAGATAGATAGATAGATAGATAGATAGATAGATAGATAGATAGATAGATAGATAGATAGATAGATAGATAGATAGATAGATAGATAGATAGATAGATAGATAGATAGATAGATAGATAGATAGATAGATAGATAGATAGATAGATGATAGATAGATAGATAGATAGATAGGATAGATGGATAGATGGATAGATGGATAGATGGATAGATGGATAGATGGATAGATGGATAGATGGATAGATGGATAGATGGATAGATGGATATATGGATGGATGGATGGATAGATGGATAGATGGATAGATGGATAGATGGATAGATGGATAGATGGATAGATGGATAGATGGATAGATGGATAGATGGATAGATGGATAGATGGATAGATGGATAGATGGATAGATAGATAGATAGATAGATAGATAGATAGATAGATAGATAGATAGATAGATAGATAGATAGATTAGATAGATAGATAGATAGATTCATATATAGATAGATAGATAGATTAGATTAGATTAGATTAGATTAGATTGGATTGGATTGGATTGGATTGGATAGATAGATAGATAGGTAGATAGATCGTATCTTATTTTATCTTTTCGTATCTATCTACCTACCTACCTATCTATCTATCTATCTGTCTATCTATCTATCTCTGTATCTCTTTGTCTATCTCTCTCTCTCTCTCTCTGTTTATCTATCTACTTATCTATACCTATCTTTCTCTATCTACCTATCTACCTACCTATTTATTTGTCTTTTTCTCTACCTATCTAGTTGCTTATCGACCTATCTATCTATCTACCTATCTGTCTCTGTTACTCTCTGTCTATCTCTCTATCTGTGTATCTATATTTCTACCTATCTAACTATCCATCTCTACCTATCTATTTGTGTGACCCGTCCAATATATAGCTATCTATCTGCCTCTCTCTCTCTCTCTCTATTCTCTGCTTATTTTTATCTACATATCTATCTACCTATCCAAATAGATAGATAGATAGATTAGATAAAAAGATAGGCAGATAGAGAGATCGTCGTGTGAATGGAAATGAAAGGAACAAGAAAGAGGGAAAGAGAGAAAAGAAGGAAGGAAGGAAGGAAGGAAGGAAGGAAGGAAGGAAGGAAGGAAGGACGGACGGACGGAAGGAAGGAAGGAAGGAAGGAAGAAAGCAAGAAAGAACGAAAGAAAACAAACAAAGAAAGAATGAAAGAAAAGAAGAAAGAAAGATGGCAAGAAAAGAAGCATTCAAAAGGAAGAGGTGCAGAAAATGAGAAAAAACAAGAAAGAAGGAGCAAGATAACGTTTGACACTTCCGCCCACCGCCTGCGCCAGCTTCACTAGTATCAGATACAATTTACATTAGGTGTCCAAAATAGGGACCTCCAACAACGGGTGGCGTTCCTTCACCCTATCCAAAAGTGCCCCCTGTTTTAGGATGGAACTCCCTCCGAAAGAAGAAAACGAACTCCTCTTGCAGCTTCTCCAACCTGCTCCCAACAGGACCACCCTGAACACTCCTCCCTCCCCCCCCCCCAATTAGCTGTAAGTATTATTTTGGTTTGATGGTAGTGGAAGCCATCATGGAATTCGCCAACTGGTCTTCCAAAAACTTCGAGCCAGGTTTCATCTGTTTCAGAGCCATAGCAAGGGAGCAAGGGGAGCCGCCTAGTGGCGACCATTGGTAGTTACTGCAGTGAACCCGGGCCCTTCCCCATCTTCTAGGCATTTGCCTTTGAGCAGCGTCCAAACCGGAAGCACGAAAAAAGGCGGGACTTGGGTTTGATCACGATGCCCTTGGGCCCCAGCCGCCGTCTCGTAGATGATCCCCGGCGCGAGATAGTCGAAGGGCAACCGCGCCTTTTCCACGGCCGCCGCGGCCGCCTGAGGTGAAGCAGAAACGAGACCAAATGGGTTGGGGCGGTACATGTTTTTGGGTTTTACCAATTGTTCGGGGGCGGTACATGTGTTTTGGGTTTGACTTTTTGGGTTATATGTTGTTGAGGGCTTACCACGTTTTGTGAGGCTCGCGGATTTTCGGTTTTGCTCTTTGATGTTTGGGCGTCTTGCACCGAAAGGGTGCCACTGAACAACTTGTGCGAGTCTTGCGGATAAGCGCGCAAAACACGCCCGCAACACCACTGCACGCCTTAGGCTGCACGCACCCACAAAGAACAGAGGCACACCTTGAGGGAGTGGCCTAACGATGCAGCGTCACACGCAGTGAGCGCGACCTCAGCCTAGTGTTGTCCACTACCACTCTGCCAGGCAAGGGCATCTTACACTTGGCATCGACACTTGGCCTTGTTCGCCACCTGTATTCCCGAAGAAGGCCCACCTGCATGCTGAACACGAATCTGGATGTCCACAACTGGGCATGGCACCCCAAGTTCCGCTCGCGCGGCCCGCCCGCTGGTAGGCATGTGGGCCAGGCTGCCACTGAACAATTGGGGGTTGCCACAGGTTCCTTACCTCCAAAGTGGGAGCATCGAATCCGGGAATCTTCAAAACTCCTCAGGCGCTTCCGAAAAAGCCTTATTTTTTGTCAGACCCCTTGAACGGTTTCCCACAAACAAATTTCCCGTCGCCATCAAAGGATCAAAGAGAAAACCCACCCATTTTGGGGGGGCTCTCTGATTCTGAGAGTCACACGCATTTGTTGCGTATCCGATTTTGGAGCGTGATGCAACTCCTGGAAGCCGCCTCCTCGGTCCCAGCCTTGGCCGCAGCCGGAAGCTCGAAGATGTTCCTGGCAACTCGTTGAGTTGCGAAAGCTCAAGTGGTAGTTCTGTTGGATATATGGTATGTGCTTTTTGAGGGTGCCAACTTGGGCTCGGTTTAAAGGGAAACAAAAACGAAAAACGTTTTGCCGCTTTTGGGTTTCCGTCCAAGTCTCAACATATGATTTGCCATGCCCCGTCATGAATGCAGGAACTCTCATGAAAAGTCCCAAGATATGGCCGGGTCCGGATGCAAACCGCGTGCGCCTTTCGGGCTCCTCTTGGCGGCCTGGCTGTCGTTTCAACTCTGTGCAGTTTCAAGCGAAGCCAAGCGAGCAGCGCCCAAAACCACGATGGTTTTGACCACCAATGAAGAGGTTGGTGCCTTCCTTCTGGAAGGTGCTTTCGGTGCCCCCCTTTTGTTTGGCTGGTATTTGTAAGAAAGACCAACAGGAAGCCAACCCTTTCGGGCGCCACAATGTTGAGAAACCCCCGGAACTTCCACAGAAATTCTCCAGTTGCTTTCCGCAAACAGAGCCCCATGGTTTCCCTTATCTTTCCTGAAAACAACCTAGGGCGCCAGCCCAAAAGAGGAGAGCCACCCCCCTTTAGTCGGGGGACCAACCCAAACAAAAACTGGAAAATCAGCGACAATTAAACAAGATCAAAATGAATGTGAAATCATCAAACAGGGTTCCTCAAAACTCTTGTACAAGGGCCTTTTTACCATTTTCCTACCCAACCGCGGTTTGGCTTTGTAGCAACGGGCCCTCTTTGGGCATACCCAGCCTTGGCAACCGTGGCCATTCGGAAAGGCGCGGCTCCTTTCCTCCTGACCCCAGGGCAATCAACCTGCCCCACTAAGGGTGGGGGGGGGAAGGGAGGCTTTTCATAAGAAATGGCCAAGCAAAAACCATTCCCACAACCAAGGAAACTGAAACCTTCTTCCCAGCCCATTCCCCTTTTTACCCTTCCTGCCTCAGCTTTGCCCCCAACCAAAACTGGCATATTAGATTCCTGCAACCATGTCTGACGAGCCTCAGAATGTAACATGTTGTCAGGTTGTTTATCCCACTATGCATGGGGTTTGATCCATCCCAGCTGGTGCTTGGCGTGCATTTTGTTCACAGCAACATCAGGGGCTAACTCATTCGACATATGATTCCCTGATGATTACCCCACAACCCCATTCTAATGATTTAGCCCCATCCATATATATATATATAGCTCTGTCTTCTGTGTCGCAATCTCCTCCGGTGGACCTTCCGGACTGGGCTTTGAGTCCTGGCCGTTCTTGTGCCGCGCAACTGGATGCAATTCATTTGCCTGGAGCCTGGCAAATGATTTGCATCTCTTGCCGCATGGCCACCCAGTAAAGGCACCCGGGCGCCCGAAACTTCAGGAACTCCCCAAGTCACATAAAGTGGTTCGCAACATGGACCGCTGTTGCTTGGTATGTAAGGAAAACAAAAGGAAACCAACCATTTTAGGGGAACACTATTTCGAGAAGAACAAAAATGGTGGGCGCGTTTCCCACGTTACTCCGCAGGGGGTTGCTTTCAAAAGCTGCCACTTAGCGCAGCCCAACCCCCCCACTGAGGGATCGTAGCGGTTGGGGATGGCTCCCTTTGTGGGAAGTATTTATGTCATGTTAGGGGAGACCTTTGACTAGTTAGCAGTTGATGCAAAGATGCACTACATGTGGAAGGTAAACCAACCCTGTCAAACCAGAACACCCCTGGAAAGTTGCGGTCGATTGCACGGGAAACCGCTTGAATCCCTTGCGGCATTAGGGCACTGTACCCCCCATTGGACACCATACCATCACTGGCATAGCGACTAGGAAGACTCATATCACGACGAACAAAAAGTAACACGAGCATCAGGGTCATGATCTGCCTGAGCAGCAAATCCTTTTTGCTCTGGTGATATGATTGCCCCCACCCCTCAGCATTGCCCTTTTTGCACTGCAGAGGCGTTTTGGATCGCTCAAAAGGAATCCATGTCCACTTTTAGTGGGGGCATTGACCTTTACAAGGTACCCTTTTTGCCGTGGAAGTGCCAAGCTCTTGTAAGGTGCTCTCAAAAGTTGACACAAATGGCAGCGCTGAAAACGCAGGAAGCTCTTTGTTCAAAGGGAAGATTCCCCCAACCCTGTCGCCGAAGAACTCCCATTGGTCCGACTCAGGAGAGATCTCAGGCCGTTCCACCTCCTGCCGAAGCGGAAAGGACTGAACTCATTCCCGTGGTTGGGGCTGCTAATCGAGCATTTTTTGAGGGAGCCTCGCGTTTGGTGGGTAAGGAAAACCAAAGGGAAAACCCACAATTCTGGGGGGTCCCCTGAAAAGAAAGCATGAATTCTAGATTGGCTTAACCTGACTCATGAGTGAGAACTGGACAAGCTTATGAGTCCAGGGATTGACCACCCGCCTACAGTTGGGTGAAGGTAGGTCGTGTTGGGTCTTCCCTTGACTTACATGAGGGACTTGTGCCATCTACTTTCACCCTGCCATTTCCTGGTTGCGATTGCCACTCATACGGGGATTTCTACGAGGTGAACCCCTCTTCGGCTGACATTTACATGGAATCCAAAAGGGAATACTCCATTTTGGGGGAGTAGTTGTCTTTAAGAACATCCAAGCGAATGAAAGGATCTCGCAATCTGGGGGGCTGTGACTCTTGGGTTGCCTAGTCAAAAGGTGATGTTCAAACCATCAGGATCCTTGCCCAGCCAGTTTTACCCCATCAACCAATGCGAAATCTGAGATCTACGAATCCTTTCCTAGGTTCTCATTCACACTCCAAAGCCTTTGCTGGTCCAGTCTGGATCCCGAGGGGGACCGCGAGGGCAAATCGGAGAGCCATCCAATTTTAAAAGGTTAATCACCCATAGGTTGCTGATTCATGCAACGACGGACTGAGCACTGGGAATTTATACACGTTCCTCCTCACTTGATCGTCCCATATGTTGGTGGTGCCCTTTTGGGGGGGGGAGGGACCAATTGCAAACCACCCATTCTGAGGTTCTTGTCGTTATCCAACTCTCAAGACCAAGCCACCGAGCCAAACGAGCTGGCGAAGTCTTTAGAAGAGTGCGATTTGAAAAGTTACTCCCCTGCAAATAACATGGAACCAAAGAAAAAAAGGCATCCTACGCGAGCGCGCCCCATGTCCAATGATGCGACTGGGAAGCAAGTCACCCATTAAACCCCAACCGATAAGATCCGTTCAAGGGCTCCAGGTTCCTTTGTTTGCTACCCCATGTTTGAAACAAGGGGAGCAAGGAGAATAATGCATGGAACCACCGATCAAAACCCGAAGGCGCTCTTCCAGATCGCCCGAGAGTCACGCAGGAAACTCCCTGTATTTGGAACATATGAGGTTCGGTGTCCGTTTGGGAAGGAACATGGGGACAACGACCTATCAACAGGTTTTGACCGTGGCTCACATATTGCCCCTTCCCACATGTTGGCAGTTTTCGGGGGGGATCTGCTCTGGAGCACGGATCTCAGCGTCTCTTGTCAAGCAGACTCCATCCTTCATCTGCAAAAGTTGAAGAACGGGCTAGTGCTTGGAAATATAGCGGCTTCTGAACTGCTTGAGCGGTTGCTTCCGACTTCCACAAAATTTGTTCAAACAAGGGTACTCATGGTGTCTTGGCGCGCGGACATCTTTATTTTGCTCGTTTGCTCCCTGTGCGCTGTTGCAACAACCGTCTGTTGGCTTGGGTCTTGGTCAATCTATACCTGTATATAACATGCTCTATCCCCATCAGTTTAGGGAAGGGCAAAGGTGTACGATGCGCTTCCCTATAGATTGATCCCCATGGATTGGTGGCGATTGCCTGCGCAAAAGTTTAACTTTGTGTGGATTAGCGGGAAAGAAAAACTTCCCAAACAAAATCCACAGGTCAACTATCTAACCAAAATAGCACCCAGAATAGAACTCTATGCAAGTCATGAACGCCTCCCCACACAAATCGCGTCTCAGTCCTGAGCAGCCATGTCGCCCGAACTGCTTTGCAGAGCCAGCCTCGAGAGATTGCGGCAATGGAGCTGCTAGGTGCGCGCACAGTGCCGGGTGGGAGAAATTCAGAACTCGCCAACGTCAAATACCCCCACCAAAAAACAACATCAGCCCAGGTGGTATCCCTAAACCCCAAAACCCTTCAGGACCCCAAGAACGCGGCTCCGAACCTCTTCGAACCCCAATTCAACTGCTCGCAGAACCCCTCCGAAACCCATCGGAACTCTCAACCGCCGCCCAATTCAGCACACATTACCCTCGGAACCGCAACCCAACCCTTCCAACAGCATGGAACTCCGGCCAGAACCCACAAGCCAACCTCAGAGGTGCCCCGGACTCCGGAGCTTTTGGCCGACACCGTAGCTTGCTGTTGGGAAGAAAAAGCAGAGGGCAACACAAAGAAAGCCATGCGAGATCTTTTGAGAAACTATGCCTAAATTTGGGGATGCAAAGGGGCTTCCCCCCCCAAAGCTAAACTCCTTTGATGGATCAATCCACGCAAGGGGATCCACCAAATTCCTGAAACCGACTGCTGCCTTCGTTGACCTTGTTTGGCAATATGGGGTCTCAAAATTAGGTAGCCCACCAAGAGGTTAGGGTTAAACCAACAAAAGTGGCTCCCCGAAAAGAGACACCACATGTGGAAGAAGGCCTACATATTTAGTGGGTAAGTGCTGGTTTGGGGGCCTTTGGGCCTCGGTGGTAAAATGAGGGATCCCCCCGGAATGGCTCCTATGGTTCCCTTGAAAGTAAAAAAGGTACCCTGAAAACCCCAAACGTACCCGTTGGAAGATTTCGGGGTGCGGCTGGCGTCTGTGGTTGACACTCCCTTAGTTGTTCCCAACTCGACATGGACCGACTGCTGGATAGTTGGACCAAACCTTAAATGTCCATCTTGGTCAAAAGCAAACTATAGAGTGAAGGTCCCATTTATGAATGTCCACCAACCACTTTTCCGGGAGTAGGGAACCCTCAAAAAAGGGGATCGTCATCGTGAGTGTTCGCTCCTTTTACCCCTTTGCTCAGTGGGCCCACCACACAATCTGTTCAGATATGAGCCACGGAGGCGACGGATGTTTCCCCATGGGAAGTTGAGCTCCAGATGGAGCAAACAAATCAGGCCCAGCGGCTGCAGCTGCTGCTGCATGTGCAGGAACTGCTGCATGTGCTGCCTCTGCTCCTCTGTCAGCTCTTGTTGGCTCCTCAGCACCGTCCCTCCTCTCTGGAGTTTAAAGAAACCTCCACCCTGAAATCCACACCCAGTTTGAGCCCAGTCCTATGGAAAATTGGAACATGTAGCGCTAACAGAGAAACATCCACTTGAGCCGGAGCGATTCCCCCGACCACGGAACCGCCTGTCAAGAAGAAGTGTCCCTCCCATTGGTGTTGTGGATTGCAGGTTTGGGGGTAGCTTCCCCTTGCCCTCAACCAAAGCCAGGGTTCAAACCTCCCAAGCCACAACGAAGCTCCAAATTGGCTCTTGTAAGGAGCCCTGTCCATGATGGGTTGTCCTTTCACACGTTGGGCATGCCAATCCATGACCTGTTTTTTACGCTTTGCTCAAGGGTGGTCGCAAAGCGCGGCGCAAGACTGAGAGTCTTGAAGTTGCTTTCACGATGGTTCCAGCCCAAATGAAAAGGCGACCAATTCAACTTTCAAGGGATCCCACTGGGGTCAAGCCACCTGGAAGGCTGGGGCCTCCTCTGGCTTGGAGAGCTTTCGGTTGCGAGCAGCGACCCCAAAACCACCCCAATGCCGAACAATTCGAGGGGTTTGACCCAAACAAAAGGTCGCTTCCATTGGACCTCCAGCCAACTCACCGAGTTGAAAAACAAACTCTAGAGTTTGGGAGTACAAAAATGACATATTGTCTGGCTCTGTTCCATAGTTGGTCTACCCTAAAGTCTGAAACATGTTTGGAGAAGACCCCAGACAAAGATCTCTTGAAGGACCTGCTCCCTCCCTCCCTCCCCTCCCTGCCTCCCTCCCTGCCTTCCTCCCTCACCCTTTTCTGGGAGCCGCACTGCAGGTGCTGCAGCTGCAAAAGCTCGTGCTGCACCTGCACCAGCAGCTGTTGAAGCTGCTGAGGGTCCTGCTTTCGGGATGCAGCTTCGGGGGGATGTCCCCAAATTGGGGACCCTGTTTTGCATGTTAAGGGGAAACCAAAATTGGGGACCTAGTTTTTGTGCGTTTCAGGGAAAACCAAAATGATGGGGCCTACAGGTGTTGTGATATTCAAGGGGAAGCCAAAAAGAGACCAACCATTTTGAGGGGGTGGTTGCCATGTTAATTCCCTGCAAAGATTGTTGCGCTTGATCCGACCGGACTCGGACGCATGACTTTAGACCAAACCAAAGTCAACAGGTCGGGTTTCAAAGCACGTGGAGACAGTGTGCCTTTAGCCCCCATAGAGAGACTCAGTCGGAGCACCCAAAAAGGGGCCCGAAAAGGGGCTGACAGGTGCGTTTTGATTAGTTGGGGCCACCCCCTTCGCGCAGCAAAATCAAGCATGGGCATCCGGTCTCTCTAGCAGCCCGCTTCTGCAAGAAAGGGTTCCCTCTGGAAACCAGTCTCCTATTAAAAATTAATAAGAAAAAAAAACTTGCTTGGAAAGCCGGCAGGTTGCGATCCCTGACCTCCCCAAGTCCTGTCGCGGCGCTTCGGGAGCTGCTGCCTCGACAAAGTCGTAAGCCGAGCCGCATGGCCAAGATGTAGGGCAAAGGAAAGTTGGTTCTCACCTTGAGTGGACAGGCAAAAACAAACCAAGCTGCTGTTCACCACCATGGTCTTCAACAAAGTACAATCGTTCAACTGAAGGAGTGAGTGCTTCAACCAGATCTAAAGCTGGAGGATTCACGTCGGCTGCCGCTGCTCCTGTTGCTACATCTCACAGATCTCAGCCGCGCCTGTGGAGAAGTCTGCGGGGATTTCTCGGTTGGGCTGCCTCAGCAACTGGCTGGACGCCAGCAAACCACCAAGCCACCAAGCCACCAGCGAGCCACCAAACCACAGAGCAATGCAGCAACCAAATCACCAAGCGGTTCGAAATGAGGCTGCCACTGCCGCAACCCCAAGCAACCAACCACCAGAGCGTCCTCACCATAGCAACCACCAAACCACGAGCCACCAGACCACCAAAGCAGCCGCTGAACCGATCAAGCCACCAAACTACCAAACAGAGAAGCAACCTTCGGACTTCCAAATAACTACAGAATCAACCCCTCAGCCAGCCAGCCAGCCAATCACCCACCCACCCACTCATCCAGCTTCCAAACACACGACCCACGGAAGAACCAACCCACGACTGTGGCAGTCAAGCAATCAATCAGCCGGCCAAGCAAGTACTGTGTGTGTGTGTGCGCGTGTGCGTCCAAAGAGAGGGGGTGGCTTCCTTACATTTCTATCAAAAACAACCCCGATGGCCCTCAAAATCGTAGTTTCTGAAAAGGGCACCGAGCCTCAAAAAATAATGCGCACACAAGGCGCGCACACACACACACACACACACACACACACACACACACACACACACACACACACGCCCACACACGCACACCTAAACACACAATCCACGCCGACGCGGTCTAAGACCCCTCATGAAGTGCTCTCAAACTCGCCCCGGCTCGCCTCTCGCCTCTGGAGGATCCTTCCGAAAGAAAGAAACGTCTCTCAGCGACTGAAGGGACTCGTGGGTTCCTTCTGGGGAAATCCACCACCGGGTTTTTGTCCAGGGCTGCCTTGGAGGGAAACCAACCCGGGGTTGAAGTCTACCCGGGGTCAGGACATGGAGCCTGCCGAACAATCTGCAAGGAACAGAATTCACCAGCGTGACACGTGTATTCCCAGCTCCATCCCAAGGCTGCCACTCGCTCAAGAAGCCGCAAGTCACCCAGAAACTTCCGCCAGCATCTGCGTTGGGGGAGATGTTCTCGGCCGTATTAACCTGAACACTACGGCGGTTTGTTTTTGGTCTGGTGAAAAAGGGAATGAGCCCAGCACCTGAACCCCGCCCCCCCCCCCTCGCAGCTCATCACACGGCCCGCCCGCACTCCTGCGGCGGCACGCTGAAAGCGCGCCTGCCAGAGTCCGAAAAGAATGGCACGATACACCCCACAGAACCAATGGGTGTCCCGTTTAAGAAGGTGGGGGTCACTTCTGCGGAAACCCTATTAATCCTTCAGGTTGACTAACATGTGACCTGGAAGACAGCAGATATTCACACTTCGTCTGTCTGGAAACGAATGGGTCGGTTCACACCCCAAATCGTCTGATCGTCCCGCGGCCATAGAGATTGGTTTACCCCTTTAACGGTCCACCATCCAATGGAAAAAGACAACGTCGGGAAAAACAAAAAGGAAACAAACAAGTCGATGATCCCGTCGCCAGGTCCATGGATGCCCAACATGGGGATGGTGTTCAAGCCATGCCATACGGATTGAGAGCATCTGCAAGAAACCTCAGCGGGTCATATTCTAAGTCGCCTTCTCTTGCAGTAGAACCTGATAACCCTGGGTGTCCTTTGGAATGGATGGAATCCACGGATAAACAATCAGAAGCCAGTGCTATCCACTTTCTGCTTAAGCAACCTGCGGACACCTACCGCGGATGGATAAAATCATGCATCAGTTGGTGCGTTGTTGCCCCGGCATTTGTAGGGTTTCATTCGCTCCAACTGGTGCCGATCGGCGCCGATTCTCGCGTTGTTCCGCGCCTCGGTGCGGGGATGCGGTGCAAGAACCCAGTGCGGATGTCCGCGCCGATGGCCCCTTCACCTCAGCGAAACCCGGGACAATTCGACTCGGCGAAACCAACCTTTGCCTTTTCTTCACGCAGTATACACAGTCAATAGATGAGCTATAGCCTCAAGTTTCCTCCTTCAAACTTTAGCCAAAAAGCTGTGGAACTTCCAGCCAGGTATTCGAACTTCCGCAGGCTGAGTCCCCAAGCCTGTATCTCGTACATTTGTGCAGGGCTTGCCCGATTTCTTGCGGAGTTTGGTTCCCGGTTTCGACTCAAGCGGCACACCTGGGCATTGGACCGAGGGCTCCAGATGAGTTCGGGGGTCCATGGGTTGGAGGTGTCTTCTTTTGAGGAAACCCGTTTTTTGGCTGGTTCCAATCGAAACCAAAAAAGAACCACTCATTTGGGGTTCCGCTTTGAGGCAAACCTTCCTGCACAGACCCGTTTTGGAAGACGCCGCGCGGGTCCCTTCAAGGCGGGCGCTAAGCCGGCCCATGGCACCTTCAGCAACTGTAAGGGGGGGATGTTGGCCTGCTCGCACTTTTTGCCAAGATCAACCCACCTGATTCATAAGTGATTGGCCAAGGCGTAGAGTTTATGAACCCTGGCTCAACTAACCTCATTTTGAACCCTGGGTTGAACCTACCTGATTTGAAGGGGGGGTACTTATCCTGCCATTCATACCCATATTGGCGCTCTCAAGATGATGAACCCCTCTTCGGTTACGTTTAAAATGAAACGAGAATAGGAGTCTCCCATTTATCCTATTTCAAGAAACATTAAACCAATGAAATGTGATTCTCGGGGCGGTTGTGAATCCTGTGTTAATCCGCAATCACTCCTAGGTTTCATTCAAACTCATAGAATCCGTTGCCTTCCAGGGTTTCTCTTGCCTTCTGTTTGGGACAAGTTTCGCCCACCGCAAAACCTGCACAGAGCAATACATGTGTGCGCTTGGGAGGAAAACCGCCCAGAATATCCCGAGGAAAAAAAACAACACGGATCCTAAACACGGGCCCCTTTGAAGAAAAACCCGTCTGCCAGGGACCCCCGTGCAAGTTGTAGCTTTTGTTGAGAATCGGGCGGGTATTAAATCTGTCATACTGTGGATGGAAACAAAACACTTCGCGCTGGATGGATGAAACCCCACGAATACCAGCTAAACCCCTAAATGCCAACTGGTGCAAAGTGGATTTGGTCCATCCGCTGTACCTACACAGTCCAAACCCAGTGTGGGTTTAAAGGGAACACAACTGGAAGCCAACCATTTGTAGGCGTCCCCAAGTTACGGTCACAACGCGTCTGCCTCTCCCTCGTCCAAGGCGGGGACCGCCCCAGCCCGTCTGAGGCACCAGGACCGCCTCAAGGCGCGGGGTTCGCTTTCGTCGCTTGGGGTGGGGGTGGGCGAAAAAGGACACCGGGAGGAACCCCACGATCTTGGGGCCGCCTTGTTTTGGAGTTGTGACAAGGGAAGACCAGAGTTGCTGAGATGGCTCGTGACTGATGTTTGGAAAACGGAGAAAAAGAGATGAGTGGGAAAAACGGCATGTCATTTCTGAGATCCCCACGCACCCTTCCCCCCAGAACTCCCTGCAAGCCTTACTAAAAGGTACCGAGATCTTAAGCCCCCCCTCCCACACGGCCAACTCAGATTGGCATACCTCCAGGGCAAAGATGCACTTTAGGGTCACACATGTTTCCAATAGAGTGGTCCAAAAAAGGACTACCCTGCGTTGAACGGTCACGAAAGTCCTTTGCTTTTGGTTGTCCTACGACAAGGTATTTCAAAATCCAAAAACCGGTTCAGGTCCTTTTAGTGACCAACTCTCGTTTGGGAAGCCTATCCGTCAACAATATAAATTCCGATGGGAATCTTGACAATCCACACTTTGAAGCAAGGGGTCGGGCCTGTACATTAATGCTTTATACATTCGCTGCGGGTGTCTCCAACATAGGGGGATGCATTTGGGGATGTTTAAATGCAGGGACAAAGTGAAAAACGAACCAATTTGAAGGGTCTCCCAGTTGTTGGCAACATATGTTTCAGCGGCGACCTTTGACTTCGACTCTTGGCGCTGCGTGCGCTGCGTACGAACACCGGGTGACGCAGTTCGACGCGATGAAAGAAATGGATGAGGACTCGAACAGAGACATAGCCCCATGCGAGGCTATGGTGTCCGCAAGGACGCCCCCATGATCAATTAGAGTACCGCTCTCAGACCAGTGGTACCCACAGCACTCGGCCTGCGGAGGTTTCAATCGCTCTAATACACATACCGAGAATCGGCGCGCGCAAAAATGTTCTGCAAAGAGTACATGTCCACTTGAAGCAAATGCTTGGAAAAACTGGCACGATCGCATCCTGCAAACTTCAAACCCCTCCGTAGACTCCTTGAAATCAAAATCTGCGGACTTTGCAACATGTCCAACGCCGATGAGCTAGCCATAAAAGAGCAGGCATGCTCGCCTCGCGGATGCTTTCCGTCTCCACGTTGTAGACCTGCACGGCAGGCGCTGCGAGGCGAGTTCTGGTTGCCCAAAAAGGGCGCCCGCCCGAAAGGAGATGCCTCTACCAATGGGTTAATTGAAATAAGCTCAGGTGATATCCCCAACAGCACACGGCGCTCTTTTTCGACCCTCGCAGAACCCATTATCTGGGCTGAGACCCCTTAGCTTTCAGCTGTTGGGGAAAAAAGTTCAATCTGTTGGGGATTAACGGTTGACAGGGCGCCCAAAAAAATATTCATTCTTTGAGGAATCCATTTTGGAACCCCCGCTGTTGGATTCCTGGTTGATGCGTTGGGGGAGTTGATCCGTTTCGGGTTGCAAAATTGATTCACCCACAAAGGGGAGAAACAGCATGGAAACACATCAGCCACGTCTGCTGCACAATCTTCATCGTCCGCGACAACATCTCCACCATCATGATCTTCGCATCAGCATCATGCGAGCATAGTAGTCAGAACATGATTGATATGTTCATAAGTGCGATCATGATCATCTTCAACTACTGTTCTTGTTTTTCTTGGTTTTCTTCCTCCTCCTCCTCCTCCTCCTCCTCCTCCTCCTCCTCCTCCTCCTGCTCTTCTTCTTCTTCTTCGTCTTCCTATTGTTATTCTTGTTACTTCTTCTTGTTTTTCCTTGCTTCTTCTTCTTGTTCTTGTTCTTGTTATTGTTCTTGTTATTGTTCTTGTTATTGTTATTATCTTCTTCTTCTTCTTCTGCTTCTTCTTCTTAGTTTCGATTATTCTTCTTCGTCGTCGTCTTCTTCTTCTTCTCCTTCTCCTTCTCCTTCTCCTTCTCCGTCTTCGTCTGAGTCTGAGTCTTCGTCTGAGTCTTCGTCTTCGTCTTCGTCTTCTTCGTCTTCGTCTTCGTCTTCGTCTTCGTCTTCTTCTTCTTCTTCTTCTTCTTCTTCTTCTTCTTCTTCTTCTTCTTCTCCTCCTCCTCCTCCTCCTCCTTCTTCTTCTCCTCCTTCTTCTTCTTTTTCTCCTTCTTCTTCTTCTCCTTCTCCTTCTCCTTCTCCTTCTCCGTCTTCGTCTGAGTCTGAGTCTTCGTCTGAGTCTTCGTCTTCGTCTTCGTCTTCGTCTTCTTCGTCTTCGTCTTCGTCTTCGTCTTCGTCTTCTTCTTCTTCTTCTTCTTCTTCTTCTTCTTCTTCTTCTTCTTCTTCTTCTTCTTCTTCTTCTTCTTCTTCTTCTTCTTCTTCTTCTTCTTCTTCTTCATCTCCTCCTCCTTCTTCTTCTTCATCTTCTTCTTCTGCTTATTATTCTTCTTAGTTTCTATTATTCTTCTTCTTCGTCTTCTTATTCTTCTTCTTCTTCTTCTTCGTCTTCTTCTCCTCCTCCTCCTCCTCCTCCTCCTCCTTCTTCTTCTCCTCCTCCTCCTCCTCCTCCTTCTTCTTCTCCTCCTTCTTCTTCTTTTTCTCCTTCTTCTTCTTCTTCTTCTCCTCCTCCTCCTCCTCCTTCTTCTTCTCCTCCTTCTTCTTCTTTTTCTCCTTCTTCTTCTTCTTCTTATTCTTCTTCTTCTCCTGCTTCTTATTATCCTTCTTGTTCTTTTCCCTTCCCCTCCTGCTCATCCTTTTTCTTGGCTCCCCAGACCTCCAACTCCATTCCCACCCCAGGTGCTTCGACTTGCCCATGCTCCATCCGACTCGCTGCGATTCGACTCCTCGGATTTGGCCGAGGCGCGTAGATCTTCAGCTCCTTGCCCAGGTAGAGATTCACCACCTCCGACAGCTCATCCTGGTTGGCTTGTTCCACTTTGGTTGTTGGTTGGGTTGGTGGTTGGTTGGTTGCTCGGGTTGGGTATTATATCATCATATAATCTGAATGGTATCCTTGGGGAAGTTGAGCTCTGCGGCCTGGGCCTTTTTGCTTACGCTTTCCCATAAACGAAAGATATCGTGACTACTGAAAGCATAAAAACGGAGTTTGGGCAATGGATCGTCGAACTTGGCAGGAGCCCTATTTTTACATTTGGGTATTGATGATTTTGGGGGACTTGGTGGACGAAAGAGAAATGGGGGATTGACGTCCCCCAAGCATTGAGGGTGTTCCCCATGTGGAAAAGCCTCCCAATGGATGATCCCTTTGCTTGCCGTTCTTTGGGGAGGTCCACATACATGTTCGAAGG